AAGGACTCCTTATGGTTTATGATAATTGTTAGCATTTATGGGATTGAGGATAAGAGCTGGTTCAATAGGGCCAAGTCCAATGCAAGGCGCCCCTGGAATTTCTTCTCTAAGTCCAAAGCCTTGATGGTAGATTTCTTTCAATTCATAGTTAGGCAAGAAAGTTCCTTTTTTGGTGGAAAACACTYAGCTGTCCCACAGCTTCTTAATATGTTTCCGTCCCTGTATAATGTAATTGAGTCCAAAGATAAGATAGTAGAGTGGATTGTGCAGAAATTCTCTGAAGGGGGCTGGATTATTAGATGGAGGAACTTCTCAGGTAGTGAGGTTGCTGACTGGATTCCTTTACTAGTGTGTCTCATGGAGGGTCTGGGAAAAGAGATCATCCATCATACTCACAAATCAGTTTGCAAATGATACAATCATCTTTTTACTTTCGAAGGTAGATAAGAATATGGTAATCAATCAAAAATATTTTTTTTAGAAAAAAGTGATGAGTACTCTCTGACAGAGGCATGAAAGAAAAACTATTTCTTCCATGCAGTGTACTTTGTTTTAGGGAGAAGGAAATTACTTTTCATTGGAACTTGGAAGTATAAAAAATAACTAAAAAACAATTCACAAAAATTACTTCCATCTAGCGTACTTTTTTTTTAGTTACTTTTTATACTTCCAATGAAAAGTAGTTTCCTTCTCCCAAAAAAAAAGTACGCTAGATGGAAGAAATTCTTGTGAGTTTTTCTTTCATACCTCTGTCAGTTAGAGGATTTCTCATCATTTTTTCCTTATAAAATATTGTCTTTGATTAATTTCTTCGATTATCAAATAAGAGAAGAACTTTCAGAATATGGTTTAGACCAACGTATCATTTCTTCTCCTAATGCTTAAGAAATAGTTAGATGTCTTTCACCCTCAAAATTTATTATTCCGTCTTATATATTTTATTTTCCATATTAATATATTTGCTCGCGGTAATTGTGACCTGTCGGGAGAATCGATGACTACATCAAAGAGGCCCATAATTTTTTAAAAAGTAAATAACTAAATAAAACTTTTGACACTTTAGTTCAAATGTTCGGCTCATGTATATTGTACTTAACAAGTGGAGAAAATTTTCAGTACTGGGAGTATGTTCCATTTATTGTCAGCCACCTCAACATCATTTAAGAATGATGTGGAGTTCACCAGCACTAAATAAATGATTTAAAAAGGAAAAGTATGACTATGATGTGAACAAAGTAAGTACCAAACCAATTCTAGAAAATTTCCCTAACAAGTGTATGAGTATGATACATTCTCAAATGTTAGATGTGTATCTAATTTGTTCTACTAGTGTTCAATAAATGTCTATTGTGCTTAGCAAGAGTCCCACATGTGTCCAACAAGTGTTGTAGTGTTGGAGATTCCGATACATGTTAGACTCATACATATTATTTGAACTAGCTCTTATGTGCTTCATAGATCTATTGGTTATGCAAGAACTCTCTTACTTTTTACTAGAGAGAATACTAATTGACTATGTGATCTCCAAGGCTTTTGCTCTCTTTGCTGCCTACTACTATGGTAACAAGTTGATAGTGAGGGTAGTGAATCCAAACGTATGGACTACCATTAACTTTTCCCTTTCCAGCTCAGTCCTTGACTCATTTTAGAACAAAGTGAATTAACTACTAATTAACCTTTGTCATGTGTTTCTCCTGCACTTGCCTCTTGATAAGCCTCCACTTGCCGTTGGATATATATTAAAATGCATGATCCTATAGCTTGGAGCCTGAAATTCAAGTTTGAGGTGGAACAATTGAACAAATATATCAAAGGTTTTGTAATTTTGAAAAGCTTACTTTTCTAAAAAAATTCCCCGAAGGTTTATTCACCAAATGGAATCATATGCAAGCTCTTTTTTATTTTATTTTTTATGGTTTATGTAGTTTTATTATTATTTTTTCCCCTTTGGTTTCAGGGGCTACAAACGCTTCTTCAGACGGACTTCACTTGAGACATCAGTTTTCCTTAAGGATGATTGCTTGAAAATCAATTGCACTGTTGGTGTTGTTGTGTCTGGAATAGACAGTTCAAGACTTCACTCCATCCATGTTCCTGAGTCTGATATTGGAGCTCATTTTGGTACATTATTGGAAAATGAGGAGGGTTCAGATGTTACTTTCAATGTGTCTGGGGAAAAGTTTCGTGCTCACAAGCTAGTATTGGCTGCTCGATCTCCTGTTTTTGAGAATGATTTTGTGAACATGATGGAAGATGACAGTGATGAAATTCTTATCACAGTAATGGAACCTAGGGTTTTTAAGGTGGATTCTCTAAAGAATTACTACTTTGTCACCTTAAATATTTTATTCACTTAACTAGTAGCAGATCAGATCCAATGTGCCTCTTCCCGTTTGCTGACACTTTCTCCCATTTCATCTGAGCAGGCTTTGCTGCATTTCATTTATAGGGATACTCTCCCAGAAGATGACGAGTTCTTGGAAGCAAGCTCATCTTCAGTTCCGTCCATATCTGATTCATTACCTGCAAAATTGTTAGCTGCTGCGGATAAATATGATTTGCCCAGACTTAGATTGATGTGTGAATCTGTACTCTGCAAGGACATATCTGTGAACTCCGTATCCCATATTCTGGCCCTTGCCGACCTCTATCATGCTGCCGATTTGAAGTCTGTTTGCCTAAAATTTGCAGCTGAAAATCTAGTTGGTATGTTTTTGGATGATTTCGTTGAAGAATTACCATTCTATGGATAGCAATTTCAGCAGCTAGAATTATAACATAGTGCTTTCCGGTAATCTTTCTTACATTTAACATGCCTGAAATACATATATTCCGGTGGTATAGTTGAAATTTGTGTCTGCTGTGTCATTTGTTTCTGTGAATCAGTCTGCTGAATATTTGTCTTTTAGGTGACATGGAGACGCTTTACTTTTCTAATTAGGATTGCGCCAGTGTGCCCGGCTGTTTTTTCTTCTTCACATCTTACAATCGGTCGAAGATACTCAGTGATTGTTGGTGTGCATCTTCCTAAATAAATGCTATAGATGGTTGTTTGGTGGATTAACCACAGTCACTATTGTTGTGTTTTTCTATTTATCTTGTAAATTGTTAATAATATAGGATTCGATAGAAGATTGGATTTTAGGATGCAGTGTTGTCTGCCTAAACTTTTGCCTTTTATTTCAAGGAAAACACTGGTCACTATTGAATTTTCGCTTCACAAGTGGAATAAGAATCTCAAGAAATTAGGAATTTTTTCTTTTCTTCCCATGTTAAGAGTCTGACGTGTGGATGAACTGTTTTCCAAAAGGAAATATTATAGGCCTCCAGGAGGAAGAATCGCAAGTTGTCTAATCAAACAGGGTTGTTACAGGGCTATCATATAATTAGCGACTCCGTGTAAATATAGGGGTGTAAGTCTGTTTGTTCATACATGCTAGGTTTCAGTTCGGAAGGCCGAATGGTTCGGTTCGGTTTCATGGCTATTATATAAATTAATAGGGCTCTTGGGCAGGCATGTACTAGTGGAGTGAGGGAAGGGCGATTTTGTGTGACGTGTAGTGTGGGACTACATTATGGAATTATGTTACCTTAAGATAAATAGGGAATGTCATAAGGCGGAGTCTCGGGGGAGGGTTTTCAGGCCTCTCGAAAGCGGGATAGGGCTGTATTATCCATTCTTCCTACTGTTAAGATAGTGGATACCATACTATTCTGGCTGTGCTTTATGATCAAAATACAAGCCCCAGGATATGCATTACTTGGAGACTGTCTTTTCTTTCTTCTTCTTCTTCTTCTTCTTCTCATTTTGGATGTTATCAACTTCTTTTTGTTCATAATTTCTGATTGTCCTAAGGTTTGATGCAGCCGTAATGCAATCTGATGGCTTTGAGTTCCTCAAAGAAAACTGCCCATTGCTGCAGTCGGAGCTTCTGAAGACCGTTGCTGGGTGCGAGGGCGAGGAGCTCAGCGGAGGAGGAAAGAGTCGAAGTGTGTGGGCTCAATTCTCGGACGGTGGGGATACAAACGACAGGAGCGTGAGGCAACAGACATGGGAAAATGGAGAAAGGAGTCGGAACTTGTGGGTGCAGCATTCAGATGGCGGCGACGCCTGCATTCGAAGTCCGAGGCGAGAAGGTTAACACACATAATTTGGCAACTACTATTGTGGTTTTGTATTATAACATTTATGAAATGAACTTGAGAACTGAGAAAAAAAAGAGAAGATGTTTAGCAGTAGAGAATGTAAAGGGGAAAAAGCATTTGCTGATGTTGTGGTTTATCTGTTGTATGTGGAAGCAGAAAATTGAGATTGTGCTCTTGACTAAATTGCTTTGGCAAAAAGTCATAAATCTTTGTAATGGAATGTTGCTTGACTGAATAAAGCTTTACTTATTCAGAACTAAATGGGACAAAACTAAACTGACATTTACGTGATTTTTAGTTTGTTCCATGCCGACGTGGACTTTTCACTTGAGATTCTGTATTTTTTTAAAATTCATTTTGATTTCTGTACTCGTAAAAAAGTTATTATTTTGGTTCGTTCATTTTTATTTTATATTATTTCTTTAATTAGAATTTATATTATTTCTTTAATTAGAATTCTATGAATTTGTATTAAAAGGTTTTCACATGTGTGTTAAACTTTTGTAAATATAAACTAAAATGGTCAAATTTGCTTTTTTTACTAACTATTAAATAATTTGAGATCTGCCAACACTCCCAAAGATTCTCTTTGATTTTTTTTTTTTTTTTTCATTTTCTTGTTTGCAAAGTACATCATAGTGCACAAATTGGAATTGAAGACTATTTAGTTTAGTATTTGTCAATACTTACCCAAGTTATATCCATCCATTTTTGATGCTCTCTATATTATTTTATTATTTTCTTTAATTATATAAAAAAACAAAATGTAAAGTAAAAAACTATGGAATAAAGTTTCATTGATATATTGATATTTTCATAGTTAGAATGTTAAAGAAATGTAAAAATATCAAGAAATATTAGGAATGTTGAACTCATAAGTTAGTTTTATATATACAAAAATAATATCCCAACAATCTGAACCAACTATAGACTAAAAAAGAAGTTAATGAGAAAATTGAAATTTAATCAATGATAAATAAATTAAAAAATGTTTAAAGTTTAATTATTATTTGGTCCATATTTTGATCATTACATTTTTAATTTTTCTTCATTTTAGTCTTTTAACTTCTCAAAACGTCTATTTTTGTCTCTATAATTTTAAAAAGTTGCTATTTTGGTATTCATTTATAAAATTCTAACATAAAATTTATACACAATAAAAACTTTTTAATGCAATTTTATTACTTTATTTCGATAAATTTTGTGAGTGAAGTGTCACGTTAAAATTATAATGGAAAGAATTGAGATGAAAATGAAAATGAAGGAACAAAATGGTCACATTTTTTAAAGTATAGAGAGCAAAGCAAATGTTCTAAAAGTACAAGAATTAAAATGAACAAACTTTGAACGTACACAACCAAACCGTATAAAATAATAAAAATATATAAAATATATACAAAATTAATAAATTCATATTATATTTGTTTAAACCAAATTAGCTTTAAAATAATCTATAAATCAAACAAACTCATTAGAAGTAAACTTACTCAAATTCAAATCACTTCAAACAAATCCATTATCCAATAAAGCAAAAAAAAGAGTAACCATAATTAAAAAATTAAAGAACATAACTAATGGATAAATAGTACTAAAAAAACTAATGTATGAATATATAATTTAATAAAAAAAGAACAAATACACTAAACAAAAAAAAAGTATTCAATATAATTAGCACAATTACAGGTGTGAAACGTGATATTTTTCCAAATGAAAGTTTTAGAAATTCTCAAGAAAAGAAAATCTCTTTTTACAAAACATTCAATTTTCCAATCAAACACTTATTTACTAACTTGAGTAACCTTTTTATAGATCGAAAATTTGAATCGCTCCTTATTTTTCTTCCTCAGAAACCAAAAATGAGGGTTGGAATGAAAATTGAAACTCTGTATGTAGACGGAAATGGAAAATTTACCGTTCAAACTCATCCCAGTGCCATTTTTAAATTCATTTCTTATTGTTCTTCTGCAGCAAATCGGCGAAAGAGAGAATTAAACAAGGAAGGCCAGCCATAAAGTTGGTGGGTGGAAGAAGGTGCCCAATTTCGTCAAAAAACCAATAAGCTTCCTCCCAATTTTGTACAGAAAGTTACTGCACGCTCTCTCTTTGGTTTAATCGTAATGGGATTGAGAGATATAAGGCACATGGTGTTACATTGGGAACAGTGAAGATAAATCTTCCATTCATCCCTTGTCTTTTCTCTCTGACATCCCTTTGAATTTTTGGAGAAATTTTGGAGATGGGTTTTGGAGAATACTGATAAATAAGCAAGTTTTTTCGATTCTGCGCTGTGGGTATTGAGTAATATGCTGATTCGTGAGCAGAGTTCGGGGAATACGGATACTGGTTATGGAAGAAGGTTATCGGGTGTTTTTGAAAGTTTGGTGAGGAGAAAGCTGGTGGATTCTGATAATGTAACGAGGGAGAATCATCATCAGCTGGCTAAGAAATTATCTGCTCTTGACCTTGTTGCCATTGGTGAGTTTTTGGCACTTCTCTTGATTGTTCTTTCCATAATTTGCTCCTTCTTGGGTCATTGAGCAGGCCTGATTTTCAATGGTTGTTTGCTTTTTTTCTTGTTTTCTTCTGTTCTGTTTTCTTGCTTTCTCCGAGGATAACATGGGTTACCCTGTTTTGGAATTGAGCTCTGTRTCATTTGAATTATGCTGCTTATGTTGTCCAAGGTGTTCTAAAGGCAATCCATGAGTTTTCTGTTGGCAGCTTGATTTTTGCCCCTGTATCTCAGAACAATTACAAATTCTTCCTTGGCTTTTGGGTGGTTACTGTCTCTGKTGAGTTAAACTAAAAGGGTTAAGGAGTGTATGATGATTGATTTGCCTTCTCATCAGGAGTTGGAGCTACCATTGGAGCTGGAGTGTATATTCTGGTCGGAACAGTTGCCAGAGAGCACGCAGGACCCTCTCTTACTATATCATTCTTTGTTGCTGGGGTAGCTGCTGCACTCTCAGCATTTTGTTATGCGGAGCTTGCATGTCGTTGCCCATCTGCTGGGAGTGCCTATCACTATACTTACATATGTGTTGGAGAAGGGTAAAACMACTTTTTGATCGTTGTAAAAATAAAGTAACAACATATATTTATTTTAATGTTTTGAGTATCTGAGCCAGGGGTGGCCCTGTTGGTAAAGGCATGCAGTTTCTAAGTAATATCCTATATAGAGATAGTGTGTTTGAATGAGGTTTAATAAGAAAAACTTTGATGTCTTCCAAGTTTGGGTCTTGTGATAGGTGCGTGCCCCTTGGTTAGTGGGGTGGAGGCCCGATATCAGGTTATTACAAAAAAAATTTGACCCTACAATATTTGTTCGTTAGAAAATATGTAAAATTTTAACATCTAGATAGGTGGCTACCATTAGGTTTTAACTTAAAATTCAAATTACTTTTACTTTTTTTTTACTTGCTCGACTATTAGGCCAACTTACGGTGGTTTAAAGCAGTAATGTCTATCCGAATGAAAGTGATTTGTATTGAATGAGGGATATAATAAGCAGGCATATGTGCGACATTGTTAATGAACTTATGTGATCCTTAAACAGTGGCTAACTTTGTATGGTTTGACTACTCTCAGAGTTGCTTGGTTGGTTGGCTGGGCTCTGATTCTGGAATGGACAATTGGTGGTTCTACAGTGGCTCGTGGCATAACTCCCAATCTGGTATTGTAAAAACTTCCTAMATTTGTTGACACATGCTCTTAAACTTGTGGGCCTGGATAGATTGGATGTGTGTTGAAGGATAATCAATATCATATGTTTCCAAAATAAAAACAGAGTTGGATGCTCTGTTTCCTACATAAGACTACTATTAGTATGAATATACGTGAGTACAGAACTTCCCAGGAAAATATTTCTTAAATAACAAAAGAAAAAATTCTTTGAATTTCGACAACCTTGATAAGCGCAGGGCACTTCTGTTCTGCTGTTATCTTCCTGTAAATGGAGCTGTAGACTTCTCAAGTCAGAATTTCTTTGTTTGAAAGGACTATTCTAACCAGCTCTTCCTAATGGGTTCATTCACCTTTCAAATTTSAAACATGTGGATTTGGTGCCGTAATATCCCTTGGAGTATAAAAGTTTGGTGGGAAGAGGTTTATTTCTTAGGCCGCTCAGTGCTTGTTCTTTGAGAAAACTGAGATTAGTAAGAAGCAATGTTGCCATTTTGAAATGGTGGCCATTTGGCACAACATTTGGCACAACATTTTTGCAAATATACGATTCATTACATGTACATTATATGTTTCAGAATGCTCTTTATGTAGATAATTACAAATTTTATCGGTATAATTTAACTTTTACAACTATTTACCAATGCAATTACCCCCCTCAAAAAGTTTTAGGAAAGGGGGCTCATATTTGTTGAAGTAGTATGCAAATTCTTTGACAAAGTATTATAGGTGGTGCAGGAATAGGAAATTTTGCAAATGAAATTAATCTTAATTTGCAAATGGCTTCACAGGTTCCATATGGAGTCCTCTGTTTTAGGCAATGAGGTTATGGTATTAAGTATGAGATCAGACATTTTGGCTACCTTATTAATAGKTTGATGAGAAGCTATAGCAGAAGCCTTTGGTATTTACCTATATTGTCAGGAACCTGTTGAGTGAACACCCTATTTAGATTTTAAGAGAATGGTCGGTTGAAAGTCTACAGGATTGTTGGTTGAAGATTAGGAGGCAACTAAATGATTGGGAGGTGRCTAAATGAATCGATCTTTTAGCATTTCAGGAATTTGTGCCAAACCAAGAAAGGTTGGACTTAGATTGGACGTATATCCTTTGTGCTTTTAATGGAAACTAGGATAACAATTTTCCATGAAAAAACTAACGCCCTTTGAAAATTTGAACAGTGCTGTTGAACTGTATATTTCTTAGAGGTTGCTCTATCAGACTATAGGTTTCTTTCTTCCTTATACGTTCCACTTTAGAAATGGCAGTCTGTTGCAATTGGAAGCAAACATTTTAGGATATATATTGGAAAGCGAGCCAAGTGTTTCCTGTTTTAATGTGAAAAAAAGGAGCTAAAAGATGCATGACTATGTTAATTGCTTAGGTCTATCGCTATCTTGAACTCACTGAAACTTATATTAGTCTCTGCCAAATAAGAAGTGGGATCGCACATTTTATGTTTGACAGTTGGAACATTCAATTTAGTGTCAGGAAGATAACTCGGCCACTACATAATGTATGTGGTAAGAAGTTTTAACAATTTACTAATTTTGTCTCTGACAACTAGAGAGGGGATGAACTGAAATGAAAATATGACGTGGGAACTGCGATAAAGTGGACTTTTAGTCACTTGGTCATATTGATTGGTGGTTAAAGGAAAATATGACCTTCACAACGAAATACTTTCTTCATTTTGTTTGTCTGTTCCATAGTTTATGACATGGATGAGATGTTTATGGTGCTTAATTTCTATTGATGTTACTATTTCTGTTCACTTCAGGCACTGTTTTTGGGAGGTGAAGATAAGTTACCTGCTTTCTTGGCTCGTATTTCGATCCCTGGACTTGGTATCGTTGTCGATCCATGTGCAGCAATCTTAATTTTTATTGTCACTGCATTGTTGTGCATTGGGATAAAGAAGGTGTCTCAGTATATCCATGAAATTGTTTCTTATCACTTCTGATCTTTCATTTGTGAGTTTCCTTACTGTGAAGTGCAATGGTTATTTTTCAGAGTTCATTGGCACAAACCATAGTCACAACTGTAAATGTCTGTGCTTTGCTTTTCATCACTGCAGTCGGTGGATATCTGGGTTTCAGAGATGGATGGGTTGGATATGAACTTCCAAATGGGTAAAGGCGACTGTTTTGTTTGTGATTAAATTTCCTTAGAATACATATTCATTAGTTTGTCCCAGATGTCTCTTGGTCTTGTAGGTATTTTCCCTTTGGAGTGAATGGGATGTTTGCTGGGTCTGCAGTGGTTTTCTTTTCGTATATTGGATTTGATTCAATTACTAGCACCACTGAGGAGGTACATTTTATACTAAAGTCTAAATTGATACGTGGGATGTTTCACAGATGACCTTTGATTGGAAATATATGTGAGTTTTAACAGCTTGTGAAACAGAGATTATTTAAGTCAAATCTTGGCTTGAAATCAAAACAATTTCATTTTCAATTTTCTATTTTTAAAAACAATTCTTGCGTCCTCGCAACTTCTTTGATAGGTTGATCATATTTCTTAAAAACACTTTTGAGTTTTTACCTAAATTTAAAAAACAAAAACAAGCTTTTAAGAACCAATTTTTTAGTTTTCAAAATTTTGACTTAAAGTTCGAAAACGTTTTTAAAAGTTATATAACAAAACAGATAGGTGGAAGTAGGGTTTATAATCTTAATTTTCAAAAATAGAAAACAAAAAACAAGATATTTCATTTTTATCAAACGGAGCCTACATTTTTAGTTTATGTTAACTACATAATTCTCACTTGAGATCATGAGGAATGGATTAAGGATCTAAACACTGAAAAATAGGAAATTTAGAATTTTTTTTTTCATGTGGTCTACTTCTTGATAGGTTTCTAGTATCTCATCACTACTAATTTTTTAATGACAGATGAAAAATCCTCAACGAGATTTGCCCCTAGGTATAGGATTAACTATGCTTATCTGTAGCATTTTGTATATGCTCGTTTCCACGGTGATTGTTGGCTTGGTACCATACTATGCATTGGATCCTGACACCCCTATCTCCTCTGCATTTGCTAGCTATCGTGTGCACTGGGCCACGTGAGCATTCTCTAAACTGAGGGAGATTCATGGGACTGTCTGCTTGTCCCACTTAATTTTTATTTTTAATATTTCTTTTTAAAAGTTAGTATTTTCATTCATAGGTACATAATTACAGTTGGGGCAGTGACTGCTCTTTTCGCCAGTTTATTAGGTTCCATTCTTCCTCAGGTACGTGCTAGAAAGTACTTCCACTTCGTGGTTTATTGTTGTTGTTGCAATCTGGTCAATGTGTTCGTTTAGTGCAGTAACTAGTTTTTTGAAGAATGTAAATTTCAAGGTAGCCACTTGCCGGCATTTGTGGCCGGCTCATACTTTGGTTTCTGTCACATCTTTTCTTTTATGGATTTAATGTTTTTTGTTATAACTGGAGTATCAGAGCATGGCCTTGGGAAGAGGTCTTGGGAAGAATTTTCTTTTTGGCTCAAGAGAAATGGAGAATTTTCAGAGGGGTTGAGAGGTCTTGGCAAGAGGTCTGGGATGTGGTTAGGTTCAACTCTTCTCTTTGGGCATTTKTCTCTAAACCGTTTTGTAATTATTAGTTAGGCCTTATTCCTTTGGATTGGAGTCATTTTCTACATATTTAGGTTTTGGACTCCATTTCTGGGGCTATGTTTTTTTTATGCCCTGGTCTTTCATGTTTCTTAATGAAAGTTGAAAAAAAGTATCGGAGCATGGCCCACCCGCTGATCTTTGAGGAGGGCTTGGTCCACCCGAAGTGAGCTTCAAGAGATAATRAGGTTAAAAGTTAAATAAGTTTTCAACTTGGACCACTAGGATCTCTTATAGTATCTCTAAACATCCCAAGCCCTTACCACCAAGKCACCTCTTGGAATGCCTTTGGATGCATTGCTTTTATGTGGATGTCAACTATTTAATCGTAGCATTTCACGTTGCTTCGTTGAAAAAGAAATCTGCACCACCTAATAAATTAAACTTTTTGATGCATCTATTTTCCAGCCCCGGATTCTAATGGCCATGGCTAGAGATGGATTGTTACCCTCTATTTTTGCAGACATCAATAAGCACACCCAAGTTCCAGTAAAGGGCACCATTATAACAGGTCTCTTTGCAGCAGCTCTGGCATTTTTTATGGATGTTTCACAGTTGGCAGGAATGGTAAGTCAAAGCTTTCCACATAAGCTGGAGATGGTATGATTGGAGAAAGATCAATTCCATCAAAGATATAGACAGAATACGTCGACATTGTTAACCTGTCTTCTTGGCTTATATGCTACTGTGGAATGCAGGTGAGTGTGGGAACACTTCTTGCATTTACGACTGTCGCAATTTCGGTTCTGATACTCAGATATGTTCCACCACATGAGTCCCCACTTCCATCATCACTTCAAGAGGCTATCAACTCAACATTATCACAGTTAGATGGTGAGAGTCTGGAAACTGCTGTTGGAGATTCAGCTGGTATTTGTGAGAATAATATTCAAGATTCAAGCGATAAGGGGAACGATGTACTCGCTTACCCTCTTATCGAGAGAGCAGTATCTCGAGGTTAGATGACTCCTATCTCTACTTCTTGGTAAAATGTTTATTTAGTATGTCTTTTATTAGAAACAGCCTGTTCAGTAAACAATGGATACATGAACAKCGGAAGGGAGATATAAGAAGTCGCACAAATGTCATGAAGGGCTCTTGTTTTTCCAATTTATTTTATAACTGTGGGGTTCAAGCTAGTTTACTTTCACCTTGACCTAAATTCAAATGACAACTTCTTGACCCAATAATATTTGTCCTCTAGTTAGTATTAATAGAAAATTTTGACCGGTTAAAAATGCCTATAAAAATTGATCCATTTGATTTAGTTTCTAGGCAACATTTAAGTATTTAGTGAATTGGTAAGGAGGACGAGTTTTAGCTTAGTCTAACAACTTAAGCTTTAAGCTTAGGACTTGTAGGATTTAACATGCACTAGAGCATTTAATCTAGTACTAAATCATAAGATTTTAAGGTTAATCCTTGTGAACCTTTTTCATTAATAATTTGTTAGGAATACTCATAGGGAAATAATTAGGTTATTTAATAATGTAAGCTAAATCACACAAACTATAGGGACGAAAATAGTACGTAATTCACTTGGTTTAGATGACTYAGTAATGTCAATGGGTTTAATCTTTATGTTGCTAGCTTTTTCTATGTTGGAGTTACTAGTTGATTATCTTTGACGTAAATTTTATTGGTTTATACTATTTAACGCAGAAGAGAAACGGCGAAAAACTGCTGCTTGGGCTATTGCACTTGTCTGTGTAGGAGTTCTTATAGTTACATTCACAGCTTCAGCCAAGTATCTCCCCAGGTTATCTATCACCTTTTAGAAATCTCCTATGCTTTTGGTTTTTCAATAAATATGCTGTCATTTAGTTTCTATGCACACTATTTCTTTTGATAAGATTCATTTGTCTGGCTTCGTGAAACACGAAGTAGCTAGTCTTTCAAATATCGACTCAGTAAAATATGTAATACTCAAATCTATCTACCAAATGGATAAGATTCATTGGTAAAGAACATGATGGCCGAAGCTAATATTATGGCTTTAAAGCAGCTCGCATGTCATTTTCGAAACAAAAAATGAATCGARGGTAGCAAAAATATAAGGTGGCTCTTTTTCCTTGTCCACCAAGTAAATCTAAGGTGATTTACATTAGAATAAAGTACAACGGTAACATATATACAAAATATATAGCATTGATTAAGGAAATAGGAAAAAAATGATGTTCTAGCTGAAATTCTAGTTTGGTAAAATATTTCCATATTTCAACAATGATGAAATACAATATCCTTTTTGTCAACATTTTTAGCAAATCACATAAGGAACTAGGCTAAATGCTGTTGAACTGAAGATATAATACAGAAACACATGACTATACTCTGAGATATTTGGAAGGAAAAAGGTGAAAGTTCTTGGCATTTATTTCTTCGTACACGAACGAGAATACCGGGATGTTTTCCTCGTCGAGAATAGTGTTAGCTTTGGCTAAGTTCCATTTATGTTTATCCTTTTTTGTATGGAGCTTAATCTGCACCCAACTTGTGGATGACCCTGCTGAAATGAAGATTTTTTTTTTTAACTCATTTTGAATTCGATTCTAACGATTTCTGTCACCAGCATTCCTCGCTTCACCTCGTGCGGGGTCGGTGGAGTTCTTCTATTGGGTAGCCTGATTGTGTTGGCTTCTTTAGATCAAGATGATACAAGACACAGCTTTGGCCATACAGGAGGTTTGTATCATAATCATAAATCTTAAACCGAGCAATCTCAGTTCATCTTTATTTTGCCTATCTACAATTGATTCCACCTGCAAACCGAGTCGAAAATCTCACCATGAGGATCTGAGCTCTTTTATTTGCCAATAATACGAATCGAGGAAACCGTTGTTTGTTGATAGACCTCATTGGTACATGTCAAAATCACAAAGATTATAAAGGCTTCCATTACGAAAGAAAATAAACCATACCGTACCGTTCCGAAACGTAGTCTTAGTCGGTGTGGACTGAAATGATATGCAGTTTTCCACCATAACTGACAATTTTATGTTGATTTAACATAGCTGTTCCGTCATTTTTGTGCATCAGGTTTTGCTTGCCCATATGTACCTTTCTTGCCGGTTGCCTGCATTCTTATAAACACCTACTTGCTGATCGATCTTGGGTGAGTATTGAGATTTACTAAATTAACTTCCATCCTTTTGGTAACATTGTTGTTTCCTTCCTTTTTTAATGAAGAAAAATATAATTGCGTTTAGTGACTGGTTCTTATTTCTCGTTATTTATTCTTCTTCATTCTTTTTAAGAAGTAGAAGTATGTTTGATAACTATTTCTTGTTTCTCGTTTTCTAAAATTTTAAATTAAATATTCAAAATTTTTATGTTATATTTATTTGTTTATTTATATCTATTATGCATTTTGTAAGTGAGAATGATAAAATAATCTTTTTACCTATATTTTGGAAAGAATTAGAAATAAGAACCAGAAATAAGAATTTAATTTTGTAGTATCCAAAATTTATTCACAATTGAGGAACTTTTGGAAACGTTTTTTAAAAAATGAGAAACGAGAAATAGGAACGATTACCAAACGCTTATGTTTCTAAAAAATTGAAAAAAAATTGAAAATGAGAAATGAGAAATAAGAAAAAAAAAAAGGAACATTAGGTTTTTATAAATTCTCGTCGTACTTTGAACTCTTTCCCCTTTAATCCCGACTTTCAGACTCGCAACTTGGATATGGGTTTCGGTCTGGTTTGCAATCGGAGCATTGGTTTACGTGTTCTATGGTCGGACTCACAGCTCACTGGTGAATGCGGTTTATGTTCGCTCAGATTATGTCAACGAGATCTACCGCTCTTCGGATCATGTAGCATAGTGTTGTACATTATTACATGGTACCTAGAAAAAGCTTTGCTATGCTTCAATGGTGATCATGTAAAATGTAAATTACCGAAGGACTACATACTTTATTCTTGTGGTGTAAGGCAGCACCATGTGATAGGTTGATATTATTGTTATTAAAATTATGATCTTAGAGGTATATATCAAATTGTATATTTTTGCTTCTAACTTTAATTTTTTTTCCCTTTTCAATTTGGCTTTCTACTTTGTAAAAAATTGAAAAAGGTAAATAAATTAACAGTTGCTTACATTAGCATGTCTGATGTAATGTTGTGAGTTGTATTAATTTGAATTTATGGTGTGATTTTGTGTGTTGATGCATTAGCAAATATTTAGATGAAGAATAATATTTAGATCGTGACCCGTTATTAGGTATCTCTTGAGAACCAAGAAAGATGAATGTAYAAAGGGAGAAAGGGGGAGAATTTTTTTCTTTTTTCAAAAAATAAATAGATGTCAATTTTTTTAATGGTAGTTACTGAYCAATAATGTTGATGTTGAAGCTAAAGTCATAAGTGGTTCGAGCTACAGTAGGTCGTAGTCGAATAAAATAGCATACCTAACTAAGTGGTGGAGTATCCCTTTAATAGGCAGTGGGGGAACATGCCCATTGGAACCGCTCTAGACAAGCAGTTACTGGCTGTCGAACCCTAAGTCGACTGTCGGACCTAGGACCGGAGTCCTCAAATTGATTGGAGAGTACTTGAGTAGTTTTCCAATTAGTTTGTTCTTCATGATCAACTTGATTTATGCGGGAGCTTGACCATCTCTCTTAGGCTACTTAGATAGTTTATACAGTTCCGAGCTGATTTAGTTGGTACATGCGTCATGTTGTATTTTTCCTTCTAACATTGCAAGTATTATTCTTATATAAATAGGGTGGGATGGAGAAAGCTTCTTCATACCCGCTCCGTCCCGTGAACACCTCTACTTTGGGAATGGTCAAACGAAAATGGGAGGAAGAAAGTTTATCCCACGTTGATTAAGTTAAGAGAGAGAAGCTTATACCCGAGTCTCCTCATACCAACTTTCTTTTTTTTTTTCTTGTTTTTTTTCTTAAATGGGCTTTTTGAATTGGGCCCGAACGCAAAATAGGCCTGTTAGAGAGAAATATTTTCTTCACCGACATGTTGGGAAAATGAAGTTCTAGTATGGTCAACTTGATTAAATAAGAGCCAACATGAGTATAGGTCAGCGGTAATTGACATCTACTTCTGCCTTCCTTTGAGGTCGTTCAAATCTTCAAACTCCCCATTTGTTATACTAAAAAAAGAAAACATGATTAAATAAGGAAAAAAAAACATATAAAAAGAAACAGTACCTGAATGTATAAATTTAAAAAAAAATTGAAAAATAATCATGAAGAGAAGAAAAAGTTGTAAATCTAAAAGACAAAATGTGAGAAAGGAATAGTATTTAACCATGGTTCAAATGCAAAAGAAAGTTTGAGAAGTGGAATGAAAAATCAAATGTAGAATAAAAAAATAATGTGAGAATTGAAAAATCTTGAACTAAATGGAATAAATGTATTAGTAATTCAAATAAATTTTAATAACAAAAAGGAAAAGAAAAAAAATTAAAAAATTTACCTTAAATTTGGTTAGAATTGAGAATTGTAAGATGTATCAAATTTTTACATATATATTTCTTTAAAAAATATTTCTACCTTGAACCATTAAATTGTAAATTAAGTTTGCCAAAACGAGAATAGTTGAACAATAATTGGTATATATTTCCAACTAAGAGGTTGTGAGTTCGATCTTCCCTACTTGGTTAAATAACCTAGCTCAAACCGAGCTAAACAGAAGTTTTAGTGAAAATATTTTATTTTAAAAAAAAGCTGATTTTTTTTATAGAAATTAAATTATTATAAATAAAAATGGAAAAAATTCAAAATCAAATCATACAGACCATATTCTAACAAAAATAGGGTTAATTAAGAAATAAATGAATAAAATAATGAAACAATATATGATCGTAAATATTTGGAATTAATAATATATATTTGTAAATATTTTGACAATTCATGTAACTTAATATCTCATCCATGATATAAACATGCGAATCCGTATATAATTAAAATATAAATCTTCGATGGAAACTTCAAAAATTTGAATCTATAAAATAAAACAAGCAATAATGACAATTTATTTTATTTATTCATGTTAAATTAATTGACATTTAATTTGACTTTTTGAGAGTTTTCTTTCCTTTCCTTGTACGTTATTTTTTTCCCCCATAACGTTCCTTGTCTCAGTCTCAATTGTTGCAAACATTTTTTATGTCTGAAAATTTCAAGCCACTCAAATTGAAATTCTAATCTCAAACTTTTTCTTTTTTGATTATCTTTTCCCTTTGAACAATCAAATTCAAGGTCAACTTTTTCACTCTTAAAAATTTTATTCTTGAAAATTGTCACCAATTCCCACCTCTCTTCACCTACTTTAGAGTTGGTCTGGTCAAGATCGGTTAACGAGATGACCAAATATAAACGTGGTTTCTAAAAAGAAAATAAATAAGATATATGTCAATTATCGTTGAGTTATGCTTGCTTTGRCTTTTTTATGAATTAAATGAGTATATAAAACAAAACATCAAAATTATATAAATAAAATTATATCTAGGTTATTATTAATTTAATTAGAGATAAAATCATAAAAGAAACTATTAACAACACCTTGCGCATTTCTCAATTAAACTTGAGTTCGAATCCCCACCCGACATGTTTTACTTAAAAAAAGACTTGAACTTTTCTCAATTAATTAAGATATATATATTATCGACCAAAAAGTTTGAGGTTCGAATTCTCTATTCGTTGAAAAATGTAAAATATAGTAATAATATTATGAAGGAATAGTAGCAAACTACTTCCTTAACACATTCTACCGTGGGGTTTTATAAAATTGACATGCAATTTTCTATTTTTCTTTTTTTAATTTGTTATTTTATATAGAAATTATATATTTTTTTTTAGTTTAAACTACTGCGGAACCCACTCAATAGTAATTGTCATATATCTCAAACTATATATATATATATATTAGTTCAACTATTGTGGAACCAAAACGAGTATAGGTTAGTGGTAATTGACATATATATCTCCAACAAATGGATTGWAAATTCGATCCACCACTCCCACATGTTCTACTAAAAAAAACTATTGTTGAGTCAAAATTCGGATTTCCGGTATTTTATCCTTACATTTATATGATGTCACCTCAATAGGACAAGTAGATCAAGCAACTAACTAACTTTTTTATTTATTTATTTTTTTTCCTTTTTTGAGTGTCAATCATTTATGAAAATGTAAGGGGTGAAGTTGAAATTGAAGGGCATAATTTGCATTTATTCTTCCTATTTTCATTCATAAAGTTTTGAATATGTTTTATTTTGGTGTCTATATTTTTATAATTTTATATTTTATTTTCCAAAAACTTTTTATTTAGTTTCGAATTTCATCATTTAACTTCCAATAATTCAAACTTTAGTCATTCTTAAAGATGTCAAACTTTATGCTCAATGCTAATCATAAAAGTAATTATCCATATACAATATATGGATAATAAACAATGTACACAATATCGTACTATTAATAACTTATAATATAATTTTTAGAAGTAAATGACGAAAATAAAAGTGGGAACACCAAAAATGAAATTTGCGGAAAAGTTTGAGGATTAAACTTAAAAATAAATAAAAAATCAATTACCAAAAACATACTTTTATTATTGTTATTTTTTGTTCACCCAAATATACTTGAAGAATGAAAAAAAAAACCATACTTGAACAATGAAAGAAGATATATTAGTAACTTTTCTCACAAAAAAAAAATATATATATATATATATTTTAGTGTTGATACAAAAATTTGGTCTCTTGGGATTCGGTCAACTTTGCGTCAATCTTTTAGAATAAAAGAGATCGATGAGACCTGCAAAGCATAATAAGACTAAAGACCGATATGGCTCTTGCCACATTGGTTCCGATACTTAAGTCAGAATCAGAGTAGTCGGTGTAGCTTATTGTGAGCATACCTTCAGGGTTTGACTTACTTCCCTAGTTATAGAAGTTGAATCATGTTCCCCTCAAGAATTACAAAAGTCGAATCTTGATACATCTAGGAACTCTAGTCATCTGGGTCAGCATATATTGATATGGGCCCACCGTCAGATTAAGAGTCGGGACGCAATGGGTTTGGGCCGACCTGYATTGAGTCGGGTCTCTAGAATTCTCGATCGGGGGGCCGAGAAYTGCTCGACACTGACCACTGGTGGGCCGGGGGGCCAACTTGGGTCGCCGAGTCCCCTTCCTRGTTCTTGACTTCTCTTAGCTCTCCTCCGGTTTTCTCTTCATTCGCTGGATCTCCTTTTTTATTCCTTCTATAATAATTAGTATCTAAAAATGCATTTGATGGAGTCAATTCAACTCCACACCAAATGAAAAAAAGAAAAGTTAGTTTAACCTAAATTATTGTACCACACTTATATATAATATAGTAATATCATAATCTTCAAAATTTTAAGAACTAAAAATGTGACGAAATTAACTTTTTTGAATAGCCCTAATTAATAATTGATACAAATAAAATGGGGTGCCCCAACCAGAGATTCATTGCATCACTTTTTTCACTTCTTTTCAAAAGAAAATGACATTTTTCAAGCAAGACAATTGAGTGTGGCCTATGAATAAAAAATTCAACATAAATTTACAGCCACAAGTTTTCAATTAAGTGTGGCCTATGAATAATAAAAAAATTCCCCACTTCAAAATTGGACGATTCAATTAATCCACCATTGTTGAATTAAAATAAAATTTTAAAATTTTATTTGATTTTTTTCTTTTATTTAAAAGAAAATAAAAACCACAGTAAAAGCCTATTTAGTAACGTTTTTGTTTTTTTATTTCTTGATAACTTTTATGTTTTATCTTATATTATTTTATCATTATTTACTTGTAAAGTACATAATAAATACTATAAAATAAATATAAGATTAAAATTTTTCGAATATTTAATTTGAAAAAATAATATTCATATAAAAATTTACTTTTTATTTAATTTAAAATATTAGAAAATGATAACTAAGAAACCATTACAAAACATGTTTTTATTTTTTTTTTAATAAAAATGATAAGAAACGAAAAACAATTATCAAACAAAGTTTTTTTTA